CTTTATCCCCTCCATCCTTATTACCCCCTCCCCCTGGAATTTACCTGTTGAAGAAATCAAAATCATTTGTCCTGTAAAGTTTCCTACATTCTGGATTTGGCTTTTACCCTCCCTATGGGGTCCTTTAGTAAACTGGTTATTTCGATTACAGACTCAGAAGATCCAGGTTCTACATTTTGGCAAGAAAACCTGGTAGGGTTTCTGTGTGCTTCACATGGCATCACGTGGGGAGTTAGATAAGGTCTGTCTGTCTTTCAGTGTTAAGGTTAATGGGCTCTTCTGTACAGATTGCACGATAGGGTGCCCTGGCTGGGTGGCTCGGTTGGAGCGTCCCATACCCCAAAAGGTTGTGGATTTGATCCTCTCTAAATCAATAAGCATATCCTTGGTGAGGATTTAAGAGAATAACAAACTGTACCATGGAGTAACTAAATAATTGACCAGGGAATTACAGAAGAATGCCAGTTAATAACTGCCAAAGGAATGAGAGAATACCACCTTTTGGCAACCCCTAATGAAATAATGGATTCTGGCAGTGATCATTAGTGCCTGTTAACATCAGAGAAAGAGGCTCATGGTCCACAGCAATGCCGACAGTGTGTATTTCCTGATGGAAGGGCCCAGTACACTTATCAGATATTCTTGGATGATGGGTAGAGGATACTGATGAAATAAGATTGACCATGAATTAGTTGATAATTATTGAAGTTCGGTGATGGTGTGGCAGTACAGTACACTAATCTCTATTTTTGTGTGTGTTTGACATTTTTTCATAAGGTTTTAAAAAATTGACTAGTGAGTGAGTTCAAGTCAGCTGATCCATCTATTATAGTTCTTCATTATTCTCTCGTTAAGTGGTTCTCAAATCTGACTGCACATTAGAATCACAGGGGAAGCATTTTTTTTTTTTTAATACTAAAACACATATCTCACTTGCAGAATTTCCTGTTTAATTGTTCTGGGATGGAGCCCAATCATTGATGTTTTAAAAGCTGATTCTAATATGCTCCAGGGTTATATACCACTGGCCTAGATCCATCATTTTTAGGGATTGCAATGTGATTATATTCTATTATTCCTCCTGTGTTTATCAGCTTTTAATGTTTTTTTAAAAACTTTCTTTTTGTTTATTCTTGTCTGTCTTGCAAACTGCAACCCAATAGGAAACCTCTGCAGATTAAACTACTTAATTATCCGTGGAAGGCTTCTTCTTGGAAGTGAAAGTGTGGAGTAGCATATGGAAGGGACACAGCAGTAACCTAAAGGCTGTGTGTTCAGTAGAGAGATGTACCATCTATGTGTGTAAGGTGTGTGTGTGAAGGGGGTGGGGCAAGTCAAGGGAACAAACTGTATCCCCAATGGAAAGGAAGATTAGGAGAATTGTAGTTTGAAAAGCATGTTCAGCCATATGACACATTTTTAAAAAAATCATTTTTAAAGAAATCTTATATATATAAAATACTATTGTAATTGGGATTTCGATCATTTGCTATGATGTGCACTGACCATGAGGGGGCGCCACAGAATAAAGGAAGGCCCAGTTGACACCTGGGGAAGGGAGGCCCTGCCAGCAGCTGCTAAGGACCCTACCTGGGCTCGAATTTTGTGCACTGGGCCTCTAGTTGTATATAAAATAAATGCTCTTTATTGCAACTAAAAATCAATTCAAAGATTTAAAAGAAAAAATAATCTCTTCCCCTCTCCATTTTAGTCACCCCTGATAATAACAATATGGTGTGTATCCTCCACACCAGACTTTCTCTGTCTCATATTAATGTGGGGGTTTTAGACATTGTTATGAAAATGAGATCATACCATAGCCATCTGTAAGTTTTCTCACTGTCATCCCTTTAGGACAAGACTTAGCTGCAGAACAAATAGTTCATGGCATGACTGTATAATAAAATATTCAGTTGCTTCCCTATTGATTTTTTTTCAGATTGCTTCCCAATTTTAGCCATTTTTAAAGTACCACAATAAACATCATTATACATAAATCCTTTACTTCTGTAGGGTAGAGTCTCAAAAATAGGAGTGTTGGGTTAATGTGCTGTTATTAACAGGATCATTATTATTGGTAATATATATTGCCAGATTATTCTTCCTAAACATAGCAGTTCACACCCACTACTAGTAACATATGAATGCCAATCTTGTTCTGGTTAGCACTGGCTAGCATTAATATTTGCCATGGATGTGGGAAAAATGGTGTTTGTTTCTTTAATTTGCATTTCCTCTACCTGGAGATTGAACACTTTTCATGCCAATTGGTGGTTTAGATTTCTTATGTGAATTTCCTGTGTATACCCATTTATCTGTTGTATCAGTTTTTTGGTTTGGGTTTTTTGTTTGTGTATTTTGTCTGCCAGATGTTTGGTATTTTGAATTTGTTTCAAGGGGCATTAACTCTTTATCATACAGTGTAAATAGTTTTCTCCGGGTGCCTTTTTTTGGGGGGAGGAGGTCTTTGATTCTGAGTCTTAATATATGAAAGTTTATATGTAGTGAAAACGTCTATTTTTTTTTTTAATTTCTGAATTTGCTGTCTTGCTAAAAAGGGCTTTCCCAATCCCCAAATTATATATATGTCTTCTTGTATTTTAAAACACATTTTATTGGACCTCTTACATTTAAATTTCTAAACTTCGTGGAATATATTTTTATATGCAATGCAAGTGAATGTCTTACTTTACTTTTTTTCTGCATTATATCAATGCTGCTTATTAAATGTCACCCTTTTTACACTTTTGTTACATATTGATTCCCATAAGTTCCTAGATTTATTTTTTTTCTCTTTCACCTTTATCTTTTTTGTGTCAATATTATTTTCTTAATTATAGTATACCCACTTACCTAGTATAGTAAGTATAATATCTAGAAAGGTAATTCTCTACTTACTGTTTAATGTAATTTTCTTGTCCATTCTCGGACATTATTTTCTTCCATCTTTTGATTGTTTTTTTTTGTTCCAAGATTACTGTCACTGGAAGTCTGACCGAATTTGCATTAAATATATCTATACTAATTATGAAAAAGTGATCATTTCTGTGATACTAAGTCTTTTTTATATATATATATATATATATATATATATATATATATATATATATTTATTGATTTTCCACAGAGAGGAAGGGATAGGGATAGAGAGCTAGAAACGTTGATGAGAGAAACATCGACCAGCCGCCTCCTGCACACCCCCTACTGGGGATGTGCCTGCAACCAATGTACATGTCCTTGACCAGAATCGAACCTGGGACCTTTCAGTCCACAGACCGACGCTTTATCCACTGAGTCAAACCGGTTTCGGCGATACTAAGTCTTACTAAGGGACCTAATATGCACCTGGGACTTCTAGAGCCTATTTATTTCCTGTTAATAGTGATTTTATAAGTTTTTCTCTCTCTTGTGAATGAGATCTTTCCCATTCCTATTTTTTATCTGGTTATTGCTAAGACTGAGAGAAGTTATATTTATCCAGCTCTCTATCAGATGTCCTTACCTTAGTATTTTTTTCTTAAAATTATGTTTTATTTATTTATTTATTTATTTATTTATTTATTTATTTGCTCCCAGCCCTCAGTATGGATGACCTATGATTGTTTATGCACAAGTTTGAGTTTATTCTCATTTATTCTTTTTGGTGCACATCTCATCACAGAAGTATAGCAGTGATGGCAGATGTGCCCAGAAATAGTGAAAAGAAAAAGAGATGCCAGGAGTTGGCAGAAATCTACACACTCAGCGGGTTATTGCTGATCACCTGTCGCAGCACTTCAGATCCTGACCAGTGATGGACCCTGTTACTTAGAGGAGGCCTTCACTCGGCGTTACTGTAGTCTGCGGAGCAGCGATTAGCAACCTTTTTCTTCTCGTGGTGTACAAACTAATTATTGAAATTCTGCGGCACACCAAAAATATGCTTTTCGCTGGTTTAATTTTAAAAATAGGTGTAGCCATAACCGGTTTGGCTCAGTGGATAGAGCGTCAGCCTGTGGACTGAAAGGTCCCAGGTTCGATTCTGGTCAAGGGCATGTACCTTGGTTGCAGGGACACCCCCAGCAGGGATTGTGAAGGAGGCAGCTGATTGATGTTTGTCTCTCATGGATGTTTCTAACTCTCTATCCCTCTCCCTTTTCTGTAAAAATCAATAAAATATGTTTTATAAAAATAGGTATAATTTTGATTCATTCACACTGGATGGCTATTGTTGTGTTGGCTGTTGTCATTTTTTGTATTTGACAGTCTAAGGGGAAAGAAGTCAGTACCCCTGATTAAATAGGTATTGCATGTTTTAAAGATTCTTGCAGCACACCAGTGTGCCTCGGTGCACTGGTTGAAAATGCTGTAGAGCATTGCTGTATTTATGCTCATTCAGAGAAAGGGCTCATCACGATGGGCACCATGCATACCACCTAGTAAGTGTAATTAAATCCCATGTTAGTTACAGTGGTGATTGTTTAGTGTTTATTAGAAGGACTTTTTTTTTTTTAATTGATTTTACAGAGAGGAAGGGAGAGGGATAGAGAGCTAGAAACATCGATGAGAGAGAAACATCGGATCAGCTGCCTCCGGGGATGTGCCCGCAACCAAGGTACATGCCCCTGACCGGAATCAAACCTGGGACCTTTCAGTCCGTAGACTGAGCCAAACCAGTTTCGGCATAGAAGGACTTTTAAAAAAAATAAAGAGTTCCTATATATTCCCTACTCCTCTCCCTGTTGTGAACATCTTGCAGTAATGTGGTAGGTTTGTTACCATTGATGAGCCAACATAGATACATTATTATTAACTAAAGTTTACATTGGGGTTCGTTCACTCCGAGCGTGCATTCTGTGGGTTTTGACCAAGTATAAGGATGACGATGGCGTCTGTCTGGTCTGCATCACGCAGTAGAGTGGTTCCCCTGCCCTAAACGACACCTCGTCTCTCGGGAGCCCGTGTTTGGCGGTTTTGAGCTGTGATGTGAAATAACGCCGAGCTGATCTTTCCGTTGCAGAGTGGAAGATGTCTATGGACGTGACGTTTCTGGGGACGGGCGCAGCGTACCCATCTCCGACCCGGGGCGCCTCTGCTCTGGTCCTCCGGTGCGAGGGCGAGTGCTGGCTCTTTGACTGCGGGGAGGGGACCCAGACGCAGCTTATGAAGAGCCAGCTTAAAGCAGGTCAGTGCATTCCGCTGTCTCATTAAGAGCATCTGTCGTTCAGCCTCGTCTTCCTGGCTTCCCTCAGGCCTCTGCCTGGAAAGCCCTCCGGCATCTGGTACACCCACCGAACTTCCTTCGCTTGTTCATTTACCTGTCATTCTTCCTGAGTGTTTTGAGAGCAAAGATTTATAGAGGCTCGGAGTAGAGGATGCAGTGAGAGACATGAGGCCTATTTAGATGGACGCTGCCCGAGCGAAAGAACAGTGTGTGTACTCACTTCCTCCGCCAGGAGATGTGGGGCTCCTGGGAGGACGCAAAGGGAGACGCTCTTCCCGCTCAGTCACCGGGGCAGGCATCTTGAGGTGGCCGTGAGCTGTGGAAGGAAGAGGAGGGATTCCCTGGGCTGGAGAGGAGAAGGGCATTTCAGCCAGAGGGAGTGGCGTGAGCAAAGGCCCAGCAGCAGGGAAACGCAGGCACACCGATGAAAGGCCCAGACCTCATTCCGGTCCCAGCTGTGACTCAGCTTGTGATCTTAGCAGATCAGCATCCTGAAAATGGGGATAAAAACTGGTACTTAAGAAGGCATGTTATGAGAATTATCTGTAATAATGTAAGTATAATATGCTAATTAGACCAGATATCCTTCCGGATGAAACCAGAGCTATGAGGGAAGCACGGGTCCCAGGTGCCAGAGGGAAGTCAGTGCTGGCACTGGGGAAGGGAGGCCTATTCTTGCACCATTTTCATGTATCTGGCCTCTAGTATTAATACGGTAATCCCTTTTCTGTGTGGTTATCTTCTCATCAGTTAACTGTTAGCTCAAATGCCATTTCCTCAGAGGCTTTTCCTGGGTTTCTATAGTTAATTAGCTCTTCTCGCCCCAGGCATTCTACAGGCTTGTCCTATTTTTATTAACTTCTTAACATCATCAGTATCTAAAATGATGTTATTTAAATCGTTGTTTTATGTGCACTATTGCCCTGTACTAAGCTTAGTGGTCACTTGTGTACTTTGTAGACGTCTAGTAAATATTTGTTCAATAAAAGCATGATTAACACATTCAGTACTTCATGCAGTGCCTCTCTCTTATTATTGAATAGATCTTGACAGATGGTGATTATTGAGGTTACTTTTCCTTGTGACTCAACCGAGTGCATGGCATTGGATACCTAAAAGCAAGAAAGTTCTAGCATCCAGGGATCATCCATAAAGGAAACTGACATGTAAGCAGTCATAATGGAATGTGATAAGGAGAATAATGGAGGTGTTTTCTAAGTCCTTTTGGTGTACAGAGGAGGGGTACACTAACGATCTGTATGTTTAGAGATCATTCCAGAGATGGTAACCGTTGAGCTAGGATCTACGAAGTTTCTCTGGGGAGACAAGTAGGGCTAGACATTCAGGGAACAAACAACAAAGTGAGCAACTAGTAAGGACGTTTCCAGACTTGTTTGGGGAATAGTGAGCCATCCAGAACACTGAGTCCGTGGCTAAGATAGAAGAGAGATAACGCTGAAAGTAAGTGCGGGCAGACTGTGAAGGCTTCTGTGGTATGCTAAGGTATTTGGACCTTGCCATTTTCTTGGCAAAAAGGAACAACTAAAGGTTTTTAGGCAGGGGTGACATGCTCTGATTTGTGTTTTAGGACAGAGTTTTCCTATGGCAGAAAGTGAATAGCATCAGAGAGATCAGTTTCAAGGCAATTGCATTCATTTGAGAGAATATGAGGATGTTGAAGCAGGAAGTAGGAATAGGGATGAAGAGACACTTAATCTAAGGGGTACTTGTAGAGCCAACAGGAAGTGGTGACTGGTTAAATATCTAGCGTGTGAAGAAGTGAGGAATTATTACAAGTTACAGATGGCTATGTCCTGGACCTGGGTGCCATGAGAAGAGCAGTTGGAGGAATGAGCTAATGAATATAACTTGGGACATGTTCAACCCCAATTATACATTGCCTTGTACTGAAGCCCCGAGGTGACGGCAGGTACTGTGCTTTATGTCGCTGGGGTCCCCCAGGCGTTCTTCTGTGAAAACTCTCAGGGCAGGCGCAGACCAGAGTGGAGGCTGTCATGTGTAACCGTTCAGAGAGCAGGGGTTGATGTGGCAAGGTGATTAAAATAGAAAGAAGAAACTCTTAAGTGTGGGTATTAGAGGTTTGGGTATGGGGGGGGGCGGATAAATCTTTCCTTTTTACTTAATGCGGCATCATTTAATGCTGCAAAACAGATTACATGTTTAGTGTCCTGTTTGCATTTACTATCTTATAGTTTCTGTGGGTTAGAGAGTTAGGGCCTGGTTTATCTGGGTTTTCTGCTTCGGGGTCTCACTAAGCTGCATTCTTGTAATTGGCTGAGACTGAGGTTTCATCAGAGGCTCAAGTGGGGAAGAATCCGCTTTAGAACTCACTCAGGCTGTTGGCAGAATCCTTACAGTTGTAGGACAAAGACTTTCCACTGCCCCTAGAGGCCTCCTGGTCACATGGATTTGTGCTTCGTGTAGCTTAGAATAGTACCAGCAAAGGAGAAAGAAACTCAAGAGGAAATCTAAAAGTAATGTGGAGTCTTAAAACATAATGAAATCACATTATATCTCTGGGTCATATTTTACTGGTTAGAAGCCAATCACAGGTCCCATCCACACTCAAGGAGAGGGACTTACAGAACACTAGGAGGTTATTAGTTTCTCTCAGTAACACAATATGGGCCTATTGTTATTTGATTCATTGAAACACTTTAAACTTATACTACCTCCTGGGATAATAATATTTTATGAGTTTCGTAAAGAAGTACTTTGTATTTATCTAAATATACATCTTTCAAGCTTCCATGGTCCTAATATGCAAGCATCTGATTAACAAGTATAGGCTTGCCATATCCATTTCTGTCATAATATTAAAGACTGAGCTTAGCCTTTTTTTCCCCCCTTAAAACTAATTTTTAAAAGTATATAGGCTTATTGTAAAAATTCAAACAAAGCAGAAAAGTGTACATAAGAAGAGCCTAGCCCTGGCCAGTATGGCTCAATTGGTTATCTGTCATCCAGTGCAGCAGGAAGTTGCTGGTTTGATTCCCGGTGAAGGGCACATGTCCAGGTTACCAGCTCGATCCCCAGTAGCGGGTATATAGGAGGCAGCCAATTGATGTTGCATCTCTCTGTCCCTTCCCCTTCCTCTCTCTAAAAATCAATAAACTATTCCTTTAAAAATTACCAAAAAAAAAAAAAAGGAAACAAACAAAAAAGAAAAGCCTAAGACTGCATCTCATAAGAAAAATTTCTGTTCATGTAGATAAGGTAACAGTGTAGGTATAGTATATGTGTATAATTTTGCATAAATGGAATCACTATACTCCCTGTAATCTACTTTTTTTTTTCCCAATTAAACAATATATACAAGGACTGTATTGCAGACATTTCCAAGGGCAGTAGGTATAACTGCATCATCACTTGGATGCCTAGTATTCCACTCCTATATGGATGACATATTCCCTTGTACTTTCTTACTCTTAGGTAAAAGGGAACTCATGCATTTTTTTTTCTTCATTTGATAGCCTCCTCTTACCTTTGATAATGGTGGCTGTCATTCCTTATCCCTTTAAAATCAAGTTTCTTGAAAAATGAAATGTTTGTCTTCCCTGAAACTGATAACGGTGGGAAGCATTTTTTTTACTTAACTTCGACTCAATTACTTTGGGTTCGCAAGTTGTTTCGGTGCTCAGTTTCTCTGTTTGGTAGTAGACAGGGAGAGGCCAAAGCGTCTGAGGTGGCTTCTGAGGTCAGCGTGGGTCAGGACTCGGCACCATAGTAGTTCTCTTGTCTGCAGAGGCCTCGGCTCCACTTGTGAGCGCCCTGGCATCCTGGACAGCGGAAAGGGAAAGTGCCTAGGGTTCTAAAAGACAGCAAAACAGGACTGAAAGAGAAAAGAAAAAGGAGCAATTGGAGGGGTTCTGGAGGTTCAAAATCTACCTCTGCCCAGCCTGCTGCTCTTAGCCACAGGCCTGGGCTCAGTGCCGAGACTGGAAGACTCACCCGGGGAACACTTCTGCCTTGGTATCACAGGACAAATCACATGATAGTAAACTGTTCCTGTTCTTGTATGGCATCAGTAAACGCCTGTTCTTTTATGGCAGCACATGTTTGAAAGAGGTGGGCCATGACTCAGACCAGAGCCTCTGTTACACTGAACATGCGTTATTGTGATTGTTACTTTTAAAATATTTGGTGCATCTCAAAAAAAAAGGCTAATGTGCCATCCTGCCACATACCAGCAATAAATTCAGTTTACCTTTAGGTAAATCGAGTTATAACCTAAGCCAGTACGCACTGAAAAAGCTGTTGTGTTAGTTTAGTTCAGAATGAAGAGAAGAGATGGGCCCATGCACCTTGGCATAAATAACACCGGCTCTGCCCGCTGAGCTGCATTCTAGTGTCTGTTGCCCACCTCCCCTCTCATTCTTTACCCCCTTGCTCTCCCACCTCCCTCATCATCTTCCTTTTCCTCCTTCCCCATCAGCCTCACTCAGACAAGCAGGCTCTGACCTGGTTAGTTAATCTCTGTCCAGTGTAGAGAGTCCTTAAAAGGCAGTTTGGGTTCAGGCACTGGTCCAGTTGATCAAGCCCGAGAACTTGTTTTGGGGAAATACGCATTTGCTATTCTCAGAGGGAGCAGTACGGGGCAGTGTAACTGTCAGATGCTTTTGGCACTTGAAGGCTATCTAGTTACTTAAGTGAATTATTTTGGTACACTTTCTTATTGCAACTTTTTTTTTTTTTTAAGGATATATAAGAAAATACTCTGAAAATTGTAGCACTAGGTAATTTGAAGCTGTTTTATGAAAAAGTGTTACTAAAAACCATCTAATAAAAGGAAGCCTAGCCAAAACCGGTTTGGCACAGTGGCTAGAGCATCAGCCTGCGGACTGAAAGGTCCTGGGTTCGATTCTGATCAAGGGCATGTACCTTGGTTGCGGGCACATCCCCAGTAGGGGGTGTGCAAGAGGCAGCTTATAGATGATTATCTCTCATCGATGTTTCTAACTCTGTATCCCTCTCTGTTCTTCTTTGTAAAAAAATCAATAAAATATATTTAAAAAAAAAAAAAAAAAAAAGGAAGCCTATCTTTCTTGCTTCTGGAATCATGTAGAAAAAAAATATTTAAAAATAAATTTATAGTGGTAAGTAAAACTCTAAATTCATTTTACTGCTTTCTGTGTAAGTTGTTATGTGTCTTTCAAGTCCTTTGTATGGATCTTTACTTCTGAAAAATTCCCAATTTTATTTTTTCCCCTCAATCAAAAGGGAGAATTACCAAGATCTTCATCACACATCTTCACGGAGACCATTTCTTTGGCCTTCCTGGCCTCCTCTGCACCATCAGCCTGCAGAGTGGCTCCCCGGTCACCAAACAGCCCATTGAAATCTATGGCCCCACAGGCCTTCGGGACTTCATCTGGCGAACCATGGAACTCTCTCACACCGAGCTGGGCTTCCCGTACGTGGTCCATGAGCTGGTGCCTACGGCAGATCAGTGTCCTGCGGAAGAACTGAAGGAATTTGCACATGTGGGTAGAGCAGACAGCTCTCCCAAAGAGGGACAAGGAAGGACTATCCTGTTAGACTCGGAAGAAAACTCATACCTTCTGGTCGATGACGAACAGTTTGTTGTGAAAGCATTTCGCCTCTTTCACCGAATCCCCTCCTTCGGCTTTTCCGTGGTGGAGAAGAAGCGCCCCGGCAAACTCAATGCACAGAAGGTGAAAGACCTCGGTAAGTGTTTTTCTTCTCTTCTCGTCAGTCCAGCTGGTGTTAACTAAAGCTCTGGGAAGTGTTATCGCAACCTTTCTGTCCTGTCTCCCAGGCCTACAACTGACATATTCTCCGTTTATTCCCTTTGCCCAAAGTTTGCTTATTAAGGGAGATAGGTTCCTGGCACCAAAAGATGGTATACAGAGCAAAAAAACCCAGGTACATATGTTAATCCTTCTTTCTGCTGTTCCCCTGATGCACGTTCTTATCTTCATCTTACACTGTCTTGTTTGGCAGGGCAGTAGTTGTTGTCTTAGGTCCAGGCTTCTGTTTTTTCTCTCTTAAAAGATGTTTTCAATGATACCTTTGTCTTGAGAACTTTTGCCATACCTTAATCTTTGACTGCAACCACTTTCAGGGTTTTCCTTTTCTGCCTTGATTAGGTTAATGTGGTGTTCAGTATCCTTTGCCTCACCATTTTATGTACTGGGTTCATCACGGTAGAATACACGTGCACAAAGCTAGGCCTGGGGCCATCCGAGGCTTCCTGCTCCTGCCTGCAAGGCCTTCCTGCCTGGGGGTCTGCAGCATCTCAGGAAGCAGCGTCCAGGCGTGTCGTACCACCAGCATCTCCGCCTTCCTCAGCATGGCCAGCGCAGAGCCTCTGAAAAGCATGATGGTGTCTTCTGTATGTTTGTTCTTTATTTATTCAACCTCTTCTTTCAGTTCCAACTAAAACAGAATGCAAAATAATGAGGAAAGATAACTTAGGCCAAAGGTATTTTTATTATCTAAAAACCTGTGGGAATCCTATATAATAAAAGGCTAATATGCAAAGCAACCGAATGGGCAGAACAACCAGTGACTGACATGCACTGACCACCATGGTGCAGACGCTCAATGCAGGAGCCGCCCCCTGGTGGTGAGTGCACTCCCACAGGGGGAGCAAGCCTAAGCCAGCAATCAGACATCCAGCGAGGGTTCCCAAACTGCCAGAGGGCTCTGGCTGGGCTGAGGGCCCATGCGCGCCCCCCCCCCCCCCCCCCCCGTGCATGAATTTCATGCACAGGGCCTCTAGTATTCTTATATTGGGATACTTTAAATATAATCTACGTTGGAATTAGTAAGCACTTTCTATTGGTTTGTAGGTATTATCCAGAGTGCTAATTAGATACTATTCTAGATTAATAGGAGACTTCAGCCCTGGTTGGTTAAGGTGGAACCATCACTACATATGAAGATTATTTTATTAAGCTAATCAATATATAGATATCATGTCATTATTTAAATGGGCTCTTAAATTTTGCCTAAAAATGAGCTTATTAAATAAAGCACTCTTCAAAACTGGTACTCCTATGCACAGCAGAGCATCGGGGCTGTTATCCTGACCAATAATGTTGCAGTGGGACTTAGCTTAAAACTTATCAGACACGTGTGCTTGGGAAATGTTTTAAGTGCTATGGCATTGCCAACACGGAACTTTTAACAAAATGTAAATATTCCAGTTTTCCACAAATAGTAAAATATACAAATTATGGGGGGAAAAGATGCCTTTTCCATTTGCTATTTGCTTTGCTGGTAAAACAGACTCTCGTAACAAGTCATAAATTCCATTCCCCTGATGTGATGTTATCTGCTCCATCACTAGGTGTTCCGCCAGGTCCTGCCTATGGGAAGCTGAAAAATGGAATTTCTGTTGTTCTGGAAAATGGAGTTACAATTTCTCCCCAAGATGTCTTAAAAAAGCCTATTATTGGGAGAAAAATTTGCATTTTGGGTGACTGTTCCGGCGTTGTGGGTGATGGAGGCGTGAAGCTGTGCTTTGAAGCAGACCTGTTGATCCATGAAGCGACCCTGGATGACGCCCAGATGGACAAAGCAAAGGAGCACGGCCACAGCACGCCACAGATGGCAGCAGCGTTTGCCAAGCTGTGCCAAGCAAAGAGGCTTGTTCTGACTCACTTCAGTCAGAGGTACAAACCAGTTGCCTTGGCCAGAGAAGGAGAAACAGATGGGATTGTAGAACTAAAAAAGCAGGCTGAATCAGTGTTCGATTTCCAAGAAGTGACTCTAGCAGAAGATTTTATGGTGATTGGCATTCCCATCAAGAAGTGAGGCCAGCGTTCCTGAATGTATACCGACATGTCCCGAATATGTTACCGAACCACAAAGTTTGTTGTTGTGTTGGTCTAGAATTATTTGGGTCCCAATAATCCTAAAAATGATGGAGTGTCGTTGCTGAACTGATTCCGCAGTGAGAGGGAGCAAGTGTTTTTATAATAAATCACTTTAAAAATAAAACAAAAGTTAGCATCCTTTTTAAAGCGCAACTTGACAAAATGATAGCCCCTTCAGGTGTACTTCGTGTTTTGGGCTGCTGCCTCAGATGCACCCCATGCAGTCCTGGGCTTAGCTTCTGTCCAGCTTTATTGCTGTTATTGGCAAAGTACACAGGGCCTGGCCCTCTTGGCTAAAAATGGCATTTTGGCAGTTTGTGTTGAATCTGTTCATGTTATTATTAACAGGATAGAAGTATAATGAGACATTGGACATGCAGGATTGAAGCTGGCATGTTGAATCTTGAACTCTTGGCTAGAGTACTGACTGCAGGGTCAGGCTAGGTGTTTATCCTTTAATTACCGTATTTTTCGGACCATAAGACACTCCGGACCATAAGATGCACCAGTTTTTAGAGAAGGGAAATGAAGAAAAAAAGAATCTGAAACAAATAGTGTCCTAAAATATTTTATGTGCATTAAAACCCAACATCACAGTCATAAACACATGTAATCAACCCTGTAAAGTAAACAGCAGCATTTAGAACCATTTTAGAGCTGGGCAAGCACACAGAGACCACACAGAGCCGGGCAAGTAAAAAAACTTTTTTTTATAAAGTATATGTGTAGGCTATATTTGGACCATAAGACGCAGGGACTTTTTCCCCCCACTTCTGGGGGGGAAAAAGTGCGTCTTATGGTCCGAAAAATACGGTAATGTGTTATTGAACTTTCCTGTTTGCTCTAAACGTGTGGCCCTCAGCTCAGGTGATACCACTTCCCTAGATTTGAAATAGTGGGGATGTTTCTTGTCAAAATGACTGGCCAGTGTTTTTTAGTGGTTAAGAGTATTAGTCTGCAAACCGAAGGGTCTCGGGTTCGATTCTTGGCCCCAGTTAGGGTGCGTGCAGGAGGCAACCTATCGATGTGTCTATCTCAATCAATGTTTCTCTCTCTTCCTCTCTCTCCCTCCCTTTCTTCCACTCTCTCAATGGAAAAAAATATCCTCAGGTGAGGATTAACAACAACAAAAAAGAAATGACCTGGAGGTGGGTGGAGAGCACTACTGATATTTAGCAAAAGGATCCAGGGATTCTAGATTCTGTAAAGTTTCGTCAGCTCTATACAATGAAGAATTATCTCACCCCAAAATACAAATTGCAGACCTGTTGAGATACATAGCAAATTAAAACTTAGGCTCCCAATGTGAATATACTTTATCAAAATTCATGACATAATGAATTGAACTACTAGGTAAAACTACTAGGTAAATCATATTCTACAACAAATTCTAAAGAACTAGCTAAGTTAATTGGGTTGTTATATCAAATATTATTTAACAGAAATGAGCCATGAGCTGGAACTTATGAATGTGGAGGTAAAGAAATGATACCTATTCAACTGCGTTTAATTTATGTATTTCTATTAATAATTCTTTGAGCATGTTTTTTAATAAATGTCCTTTCTAGAATAGCTTTTCCTTCTCACCTGCCTTCTACCTCCTTTCTGTCTTGGGGTATCTGACTCATTAGACCCCAATATTTCTCAAAATGTGTTATATGGAAAGCTAGTCTCAAGGACTGGTTCATTCAAAAGGGTTCCCTAATCAAATCAGTTTGGGAAACCCTTTATGCTATGTGTTCCGGTGGGAATGTCCTAATGTCTTTTGCTATATTAAAAACAATACTGCTTGAGTGGTCATAAGTCAGTTTTTGGTGTCAAAAAGACCTGATTTCAGGGTTCCATTTTGTACCTTACGGTGGAACCTGTGTGATCTGGAGCAGATTACTTACTTTCTCTGAGCTTCTGCTTGCTCATCTCTAAAATAGGATCCTGCACCACAGGATCATTGCAAAGATTACTGTCTCACAGCACCTTGCTTTACAGTGTTGAGACATCTTGCAGTACAGGGCTGTCAACTCAATTGAACCCCCTTCTCAGTCCTATTTCATCACATACTATCTATTTCCATCTCAAGAACCCAGAGAGTTTTATAGTACACTAGGGGCCCAGTACATGAAAATTTGTGCACTGGGAGAGTGGGGCGGATCAGTCCCTCAGCCTGGCCTGTGCCCTCTCGCAGTCTGGGAGCCTAAGCTGCAGTCTGGCCTCCCTCTGCAGGAGGCCACTGGGTGGGCCAATTGGGACAGCACTGGCCAGTGAGCAGCCCTGCCCCTCCCATCGCCCTTCTGCTGCCGGTTGCCACTGCCCCCCCATTGCTGTCCCCTCCCTCTGCCTGCTGGCATGCGCCTTGGCTGGCCTAGTGCTGCCTGCTCATCAGCCCAGCCTCCCTACCACAAACACCACCACCAGTAGTTCTGTGGTTCGGTCGATTTGCATATTATTTTATTATATAGGATACTTTGAAGTATTGTGATGTTGAATACTATTAAATTCCTTTGAGTTCTGGGGCTTCTCTAGTAAAAATTTTTGATTCCTGGATGGTTCTGGAGTCCTTAGTGTAGTGATAAGATGGTCTAGCAACTCAGGATCTCGGTCATTCTGAAGCCATCTTCACAACAGCCTGATTCTGCCCCACTTTAGGCAAAGTACGAGTTTGACCAGGCTTAAAGGGAAACTTGGTTCCTGGACTCTTTTCAATCAAGCATTTATTAGGCACTGTGCGATCAAACCCGTACAACAGGGAATGGCTAATACTAGTACCTCTGCTGCATGGAGCTCTTGAGGTTAAAGACTGTATCTTAGTCATCTCTACATTCTCAGAAACACACACCCATAGCAAGCACCAGAAATGTTTGTTGAAAGAAATTAGGTCTTGATATCATGAATGTGCAAACTTAAACTTAAGGTCTGTGCCTAGTTCATTTCATTACTGTACTTGTTCAAAAAATTTTAAATACCTGGTTTGGCGATGCCCTGTTCACTGAGTACCAACTAAATGCCAGGCTTTCCTGAATCAGGACAGGGACACTCCAGGTGACATGTGGACACAGGATGATGAACATATTCTCCGGATTAAAAAGCTGTTATAGCCAGGATAACAAGTTGAGGAGGGTGCCCAAGTTTACCCAAAGAGAAAAAATATTTTGACTCCTAAATAAAGCTAGCAGAGAAACACTTGCTCAGATGTCAGCGTGCTAATTATATACGCAGCAGACTTGGCAGGTACAAAGATTATTATAAATTCGCCCACAAAAAAGTAAAAGGGGAAAGGCAAGGGATCAAGTTTCCAGCTATATAAATCCCCTGCCACTTCAGAAACTCTGCAGGCAGCCTCAGGTGGAGCTGAGCCACGTTTAATCCTTCAGTGTCACCAACATGAGACCAAGGTTATTTTGTCTCGGTGGTTCTCTATATTGTCGTGCCTTCCAGAGGTCATAGGCTTGTCCACATGAGGCCATGTCTCTCTGTCAAACATCCTGGACTGGGGGGTTGACCTTGTCAAAATACCCTCGTCTGGTTAAGCAGCCCGCATGCTGATCCTCACTGGCTCACCCGGAGCCTGGCCATGGGACATGTCTTCATACTGCTAATACATCCTGGAACATGATGGGTTTCCACCCCATATGCCTCTACTAAAAGGCAGTATGATCTACGGCAGTGGTCTGCAAACTAGGGTATCTGTACCCCTGAGGGTATGCAAAGACTTTTCTGAAGATACATAGGCATTCTTTCCTAAGAAATATTTCCTAACGTCAATCTTCCGGGAAACTCGCATAGACAGTGTCCTCTGGTCCCACTGCACAGTGCTCCAGTCCAGATGACAAACAGCTGGGATACCAAAGAAAGGGATAACTGGAATACTGGTATTGGGGTTGAAACATAAATGATTAGATAAACTTTGCAAGTTGGGTAGTTTCCAATTTGTTGCTTTGAACAAAAATGAAGGAGGATCTAATCAAATCCAGATCAAGGAGTATATCTCATCTGTCTAAAGATAGATTTTTAAAAACATCTTTATTGAGCTATAATTCACATACCATACAATTCAATGGGTTTCATCTTTTCACAGAACTGGGCAATCATCACCGCTATCAATTTTAGGACACTTTCATTATCCCCCAAAGGAACCCCATACCCTTTGGCAGTCACTCCCATTTTCCTCCCAAGCTCCCAGCCCTAAGCTATTTTCTACCACTAATCTACTTTCTAACCACTAATTTACTTTCTGTCTCTATAGATTTGCCTATTCTGGATATTTCATATCAATTGAATCATACAATATGTGGTCCTTTGTGACTGGCTTCTTTCATTTAGCATAATGTTTTCAAGATGTATCCAAGTTGTAGCTTATATCGGTACTTCATTCCTTTTTATGGCCAAATATTCCATTGTATGAATATACCACATGTTTTTATCCATTCATCAGTCAATCCAATAATAGATTATTTACAATATACTTATATTAGGAATGAAAAAGGAGAGATTGCTACAGATCTTGTAAATGTTAAGTTAAAAGAGGATACTATAAGTAACTTGAATTTCAGGTAAAATTACTAAAACAACTTTCTTAACACAATTTTCCAGAAGTGACACAAGAAAAAAATGGTGACTATTCAGATTTTCTATTTATTAAAGAAAGTGAATTTGTGATTAAAACTCTCCTAAAAACAAAAACAAACCACCTCCAGGCCCAGATGGTTTTGCTAGTGACTCATTCTAAACAATTAAGGAAGAAATTAAGGAAGAAATATACCTTTATTCCACACTTCCAGAAAATAGAAAAAGAGGGAACATTTCCCAACTCATTTTATGAGGTCAGTATAACCTTGATGCCAAAACTTAAGGAAAATTACAGACTAATTTCTCTTATAAAAACCCTAAAGAAAGTAATTAGCTAATTGAATCCAGGAATGTGTAAAGAATAAGATATCTTGGAAAAGGGAATTTATTCCAGGAATGGAAGGTTTGTTTAACATTTGAAAATCAATATTATATGCCACATTAATATAATTAATGGGGGAAAACTGGTAAAATGATCTTGATAGGTACATTATTGATAAAAACTTATTACTCGTTATAAGAACTTTTGCATATTAAGAACTGAGAATGC